TGGCCTGGGCGGAAATTAAATCCACACCGTTTCATAATTAATATCTCCCCCTCCTCTGTCTCTCTTTCTTTCTTCGTTTGGTTCAGGGCTTTGAGAGTCTCTTGACGCTGTAGTGGTGACACAAAAAAATCATTTTAATAAATCAGTCATTACGGGGTTTCTTTCTAAAAATTAAAACGTTGAAAAAATAATGTATTACATTTGTATTTTTCCAAATAAAACATAATTGTATTCATATTTTTCCAAACAAAACATAATTGTATTTATATTTTTCAAATTAAAACATAATTCAATTCATACTTTTCAAAATAAAGCAAATAATTTCGATTGAATTTAAACAAATACACATTTTGAAGGTGTATTTCCGTGCGTAATTCCTGCAGGAAATGTACACTAATAATCCCAGTCACATGTAATGCTTTTTATACAGGCTACTGGCGTTATAGATGGAGGCCATTTATATCCCATGGCGTGCCCACCTCCAGCAGGTGATCCTCGTGTCGTAACGTGTCAGCGGTGTCCTGACATAAGTATAATAATAGTTAATAGACCATGAGACACAGAATGGCATTAAACCTAACAAAGATGTGTCAAAACGGAGGAAAAAAAGTCTTCATTAGCTCCATCTCCAAGGACCGTCGAACATTTCATTAGTTTGTAATTTATGAATGTTTGACAAATATTAAAGAGTATGTAAATATGAGAGGCATAATGTGTTACTGCGGGAGGTGGCGAAATGACCCAAAGTCCTCCACACTGCAACACTGATCACTGCATTATGTGTCTCCTCAAACTGTGCGTTTTGGAACATATTTCCCATCTGACGTGTGAAATAGTGCAGACAGAGCAATGATTCATAATGCTGGCAGCATTTGCATCTCCTAATATGTGTTACTTTGATATATGATGATATACTGTCTCCTTTATCGACTGTATAAACGCACTTTTGCCATTATGGCTTTGGCTAAATCAGTAGGAGGGTGTTTGTCCTAAAACGGTTCATTTCCTTGTTTGTGAACCACTTCCAGGATAATCGTTTTTTTATTTTTATTTCTACAGCAACTTCTCAAGTCCCTGAGTTGTTTTTGTCCAGGGCTGAAACTTTAACCACAAAACAGTGTCTGTCTTTGGCAGGATTTCATATTTATTCTTTCACACCTGTTCGCTGCTTTTCTCAGATATTAGTGTCACAAACACTCAGATCACGCAGGGGTCAGCAGAACATGATAGATTCCAGTTATGATGAATTACTGTACGTCAGATCGACTTAATCGCCAAAGGGCAAGTCCTCAAATCCAGATTCATTTATCCTGCGTGATGCATGGGCCACTTTAATACTGTGAAGTTTGCCTACAAGACACTGCGCAGGGCTTAGTTCTTAAATTTAAATATTAGGTTTTTAAATGTTTGTTGTGATTTGTTTCATTGACTAGTGTTGAGAAATAAGCAGGGTGGTGTGCAAAGAAATTGATAATTACAAAAAATCCCGTTTTTTCATTTTAAATCCTCATAGTTTCCTCCTGAATTGACGTCAACAATATTTAGATGTGTTTGTTGCAGCAACAAGTTCCTCTGCACATAATAATATATATATAATAACAATAATAAGTCATCACATAGTAGCTGCTAACTAAATAGCTAAAACTGCCTGCAAGACAGTGTGTAGGGCTAAACTCTTACATTTAAATATTATATTTTGAAATAATTGTATTTAGTTGTGATTTCTTTTTTTAAACACCTCATGTTCAGAAATGTGCTGGAAGGAATATAGTGTGCAAATAAATTGTGAATTTCATTAAAATCCCCATATTTGCCTCCTGAATTGACGTCAACAACATACAGATGTATATGTTTGTTGCAGCAACAAGTTCCTGTGCACATAATGAAAGTGCATTAATGAAGGGAAGTGATCATAGCTGCTGCTAACTAGATATCTGAGCAAATGCAGGAGGAGATGTTGGATCAAAAGAGGCACAACTCATTCATGCAGCTGCATTGAGCCGTGCAGGGCCAACAGGCGTATCACCCCCTGAAAGGAGCTGCTATTCAGGGTGCAGGTGTGAAGTATGTGGCACATTCTGCCTGATAATGTGGAGGCTGTTAGGGACCCGTGTTCGGGCCTATAGCTGCTGGGGGGCTGATTCTGGTTCTTCTGTGAGAGTAAAATAACTTGGATGACGGTAATCCTGAAACATGGGGGGTGTAGAAGGTCTTACTGCCTCTGATTTGTTCCCTCTCTTGATAGTGACTTATGTGGGCCTGCTATATACAAAAGCTACCGCAGGGTGTAGCCTTAAACCTGCCTTTATAAACGGAGTACAGTTAATTCAGATTTAAAGGGTCTCATAAATCTTTATGACGGAAGCTCATAGTGGAGCCTATACATCGCAGTGATCTGGTAAACCCCCCCGCCCCCCTCTGGAAACTAACACTATCAGAATAATATCATAGTTAATATTCATAACAAGCTTTACGGTGGTGTTTGCCTCTTTTGACCTCTGCACCCTGCATCAGAGAAATAAAGTGGAATGCTCCTTTAGCACGAAGAAATACCTAATATTTCAATGGAGAAAAAAACTGTAATTTAGTGCTCTAATGGGAGTTTTTAAAGCCATATTTAATACATCTAATATATGTATTTACTGACAATAAGATAGTAAAATCAGTGCATTATTTTTCCCATTAAGCCAGCTTTGTTATACCTGATTTCCGGTCTGTTCCTGGGGTGTGCCTCCTGTAATGCTCCTTTGCGAAGAAAAAAAATCCTATAATATTTAAAAGGAGGAAAACTAAATTTGCAGCCATTTTTTATGCATCTAAACTATGCTGTTACTGATATGAATTAATAGTAAAGTCAATGCATTTTTTCTAAGCTATAATACCCACTCTCAACTGATTTCCGGTCTGTTTGTGGCTCTGTATTGCACCTGTCTCTCCTTTTATTTGTCCTGCCAATGTCGGCCACTTCATTCCTGATAATTATGACCTGGCTGGTGTTGGAGGTGCTGATGGTGGCGGTGTTGGAGCATGGGGGGGGGGGGGGGGGCGTGGAGGAAAGAGGGGAGTGGTGTGGGAGGGGGGGGCGAGGCTTTTACTCCTAGACTGCTAATCCCCCTATTAAAAGGGTTTTGTTCAATAATGCCGGACAGTTTCCGGAAGTAGGATTACCGCCTCCATTATTTTACAAAGAAATGATATTTCACACTCAAATGAGCCAGAGAGGGCCTCGTGAGGACGAAATGGATTCATTTTCTTTTCTTTTTTTTGTTGCATTTGGAAGTTTAAAACCTCCCCCTTCGTTTCTTTAAAAAGGAAAATCTATCCTGCAATTAATATATCTGCTAAGAACTGCAACACAGCTTCCTGTTTGGGACTCGTTCGTGTTGCAGCTCAAATTGAGGCTCTCTGTTTTTGGCACACACACACACACACGCGTAAAATGTATAGCCACGCAATCACACGTATACACACACACACACGCACACGCACACACACACACACACACACACACACGCACACACACACTTGTTCCTGATTCTTGATCCCAGAGCTGATATCAGATCAGCTGGAGGATCAGATGTTAGAGTATCCAGTGTCTGCACGATGGAAAACGAACTTTTACCATAAAAAACATGAAGTCCTCACGTGCATTTCACTTAAACCCCCCCCCCCCACACACACTCAGAGTTACTTGTACTTTCTAACTGCACACAGGCTGTTTATATTTCGCAGAAGTCGTAAATTATTACAGCGGATTTATTTCTCCTCGCTTCTAAATGAAACCAAAGGCCATTTTTTCTTTGATCTGTCCCTGCAGAAGAAAAAAAGACCTCATGTTTTAACTCCGCTAATGAAACAACCTCTTTAAAGCTCGCCTATCCTCCTCTCTGAATGGAAAATGTTTTTACGCACTCAGTTAGTTCTTGTCCATTTTGACGACTGGAACTAAAAGCTTTAGACGGCCCAAATCGGTGACAAAAGGCTTTCCGTGTCATCAACGTCGTTCAGACGACCTAGAAGAATCCCTCTGATATCAAGCTCCACTTCAAAGAGCCCCACTTTCAATTGAGATCCAACTATCTTGTTTTTTACGCACAAGAGCTGGTGCCAAAGGAGGCATCATCATCTTCTTCTGTTTATTCTTTTCTTTCACAATCTGGGCCTCTTGTTCTTCTGTCACACACTTAACCAAACTCTATATACACGCACAGAGTTGCAGTGTTTCCACCCACTCAGAGCCTGGAGTAAAAAAAAAAGAAAAATCCCCTCGTCGAGAAAAGTTTTCCCAGAGCTCTTCCTGCTTTTTGTTAACCTTGTTTTACACGTTTTATTTAATAATATATTACATTAATTTCAACGTGCACTGTGTGGTTATCATTAGGCACCACGTGTTTTATGGTTCTGCACATTTCACGTCTGAAAATATGATTACATTTGAGCACTTCGGCCATCCAACAATGCAAGTCTATTATGGTTTTTAGCGGCTTCTCCTTTGATTGTCGTAAAGTAGACCCAGCAAAAGAATATATTTTTCCTCTTTATGCTGCCCCTCGTCTGCAGTATAAAGGACACAGATTACCGTTTCCTACCCCATGGGAAGCAAATATTACATTCTTTAGAGCGGGCTTTTGAGTCCACGGACTTGGCCCCATATCATTTGAGTTTGACTTGACTATTGCTTTAGAAATCTTAATTCACCATGAGGATTCACCGTCGTGAAAAAAAATGGCTCTTTGTACCAAAAGCTCTTTGAAGTCTGGAACAGAATATTGTAGAAATTCATCAAACTCAGCCAAGAAGTTTAACCGAGAAACACTTAAATAATGTGTTTTCCTTGAGCTGTTTGTTAAAATCTTAAAAGTTGATATTTAATTTCTACAAATGCTGTTTTTAAATTGACATGTTATTTTTTAAACAAGACATATATTTAGCACATGTTCCCCAAAGATAATTGATAACCGGCTGTAAATTCCCACATAGACCCGAATGGCTCAGCACAGTTTTCACTTTAGTCATACAAGATTTATTCAAAATACTCACAAATTACAAGGCAATTCGGTACGCGTTTGAGTGCCGTTCGTTTTCAGATATTCAAAAAAAAAGAAAAATATATATATATTGACGACAATGATACAAAATCACAAAATGCCCACTTTGATAAAACATTTATAATTTCACGGTCGTATATCAAATACTGCAGGCGTAGGAAACAGTTCAAATTGTTGACCCTTCTGCACACATGGGGAAAATAAACATAAAAACGTTTTGTACAAATAACTGCAAACACCAACACATCGAAACTTACAAAATTTACAAATGTACATTTTTTTCATCCTAATTGAAACATGCCCTTTGGTTCGATAATACAAAAATTCCCTTCAATATCAGATTGAAAAATAAATAAAAACATATTGAATTTACAAAATAATTGTACACCAACATGCCTATAGCCTAATAAAAATACCACATGAACAGTCTAACGGGATTTACACGACTCTCCACAAGTGGACCGTCAGGCACCGAGCCAAGCTTTTAAACAGCTGAGTTTCAAAATATATATTTTTAGAGTGCCTGGAAATTAGCACGTCTTTAGGGTCTGCACCTTCCAAATGTTGGGGGGTTCTTCCAAGAGGCGTATAGGCACCGGAGCCAAACCGTTTTGAACAGTGAGGCTTTTAAAAATGTCAATGATGCGTTCAAGTCCAGATTAAAACGCTTCAATGATGCGTTCAAATCCAGATTAAAACGCGTCCCTCGGCTCTTGGTTCCTGTAAGGTGGCTCTGAGGGGTCCGGTGTGGAGGCTCCACTGGGGGGTGTTTGGACACCACTTGCACCTGAACTGTGGCACACGTACCATTCGCTTAAATTGGCCGGCTGGGAGGCTCCCACCGGCTCCGAGGAGGCTCCTGGCTCCCGGCCCATGTCCGAGGAGGGGGACACCAGGGACGGCGTGGAGGACTCGTACCCGGAGCTGGGCGGGGGGGACTTGCAGTGCACCTTCATGTGTTTCCGCAGGGAGCTGGGGTGTGTGTAGGATTTATCGCAGCCTCGCACTTTGCAGTTGTAAGGCTTATCGCTGGTGTGCACGTGCGAGTGCTTCTTCCGGTCACTGCTGTTCGCGAAGCGTCGGTCGCAGCCCTCAAACTCACACTTGAAGGGCTTCTCACCTGGTGACACAAAGGTAAAATATAAATCAATACAGATTTAAATTATGTGATGTTCACCCTCAGGCAGTGTGTTAATGAGACAATCGTACATACAAGGATGTGTATTTTGTAAAATGTGTAACTTTTTTATATTATAATTTCTTTTTTTTTAATCTTTAATACTTTTTGTATGCATGCTTTAGGTAACATTAAGCTGTCTGTGGCTCTTTTCTGCTCTAACAATGTACATTTCCCCTCTGTGGGACTAGTAAACGTATTCTGATTCTGAATCTTGCAACTTGGATGTTTGAAAGTATCTAAAATGGTAAAATTCTCATTAAAAACACCACTTGTATACACAGCCTTAAATATGTGACCCAAAAAAATCAATCAATAAATTACAGATTTTGAAAGTTTCCTGTTTAACTTCAGCCCTTGTGTTTTTTTATGAGACAATCGTGCAACTTGTAGATATCTGATAGTAAAACTGTTAACATTTCCACCAGTGTGGACCTGTGAACAGTGAGGGGGGACACAATGAAATATAAATCAATACGTTACAGATTTCTTTTTGACATGATGTGATTTTTTTACGAGACAATCGTGCAACTTGTAGATATCTGATAGTATCTCAAATGTTCATAAAAACACCACTTGCATGGCCTCAAATATGTGACCCTAAAATAAAATACAACTGTTATAAAAAGCTGGTATAATTACAGCCACTTGGATTTTTTTCCTCCATTTTGAAATATCATTTTACATATTTTGTATTTACAGTATTGCAATAAACACCCCCCCCCCCCCCCCCCCACACACACACACTTTCTGAGACACTATTGCAACTCTCTAAATGCTAACAATGTGCCCTTGCATACATGTGCTCAAATATGTGACCCAAAAATAACTATGAAGCTGGTAAAATTACAACTTCGATTTTTCTCAAATGTAATTTTATCTGCACATATTTTCTATATACATTATAACATGTTTTAAATAATACATGTTCCCCCTCAGGCATTATTATTATATTATATTATTATTTGTATGTTTAAAAGTATCTCCAATGTTTAAATTATCTTCAAAACACCACTTGCATACATGTCCTCATATGTGACCCAAAAATAAAAATATAGTATAAGTATAATTACAGCAACTTTGATTTTTTTCTCAGTTTTTCAAATATAATTGTACATATTTTGTATTTACAGTATTGCAGTAAACACACTTTTTGCTCTCTCCATGCACTTTAAAGGAGCCTCAGCCTGGTGTAAACAGGAGGCTGAACCCCCACTGTCCTGCGTCTATACCTGGGTCTACATACGTCAAAACAGACAAGCTATGAGCACAGACATAGCAGGCCTAAAACCAACTGAAAACATGATAAATGAAAGTTTTCCACAGCCAGGCTTCACCTACTGAGTGCTATCTGAATCCTGCTTTTTGGACTGGCTCTAATTTAGCATCTTAATAACAAGTATTCCTACCTGATTATGACAAGGCAAAAAAGCAAAAAAGACAGTGTGAATAAATTACACGGAAATCATCCACTGCTGATTTTTCTCCTCCGATTAAAGCTTTTGAGAATATGTAATTGCCTCTGTCTAATTACACTTGCGGGTTGAATATCAATTTGACCTTCAGCTGTTGGGTTGAGAGAGCCAATCAAGGATATTAGTGTAGTACAAGAAAGCTGGAGGAACAGACCCCAGGGGCAGCTCACACATAACCACACTTTGGGATAGGTTTTAAACATGATCCCAAAGACCAGGCCCCTCGGGAGTCAACACACAGAAATAATTTAACAGATTTGTACTTAGGTAATGTGAGCAAATTATATGAATAATACATAGGGTGCAGACATGGAGCAGAGGGGGCGAGAAAGAGGAATGTAGTCTGCATTCACAAAGTGTGACTCGACATTTTGAGGCCTTATTTTCCCCTCACTAGCTCCACAGCACGTCATTGGGACACAGTGGCGAGCAGCCAAATGTGAACCATTATAATGTTTCTTAAAGTCATGGCTGCTGCATTGCACACACACCACTCATCATACAGCTCTGCCAACCTGTTGGTGAATTATTCCAGCCGCCTGCACTTGTCAACTTGTTGCTTTGGCTAAAGGCTACAAGAGTTACCATGCAATCATAGCAAAAATAACGCTGATAAAAGGGCTTTAAATAGTACAATACATATATGCAAAATACAACTTCTTCGTATTTTCTTGCTGCTTTAAGTGCAATACTGCATCCAACCAACTAGTGGAAATACAAGCACATGCATAAACAAAGCTAACAATTAGCTATACAAAAATAATCATCATATCAGCCACACTGGACATGAAAAGGCTTTCAATATTCTAAATAAAACGTATTCCTTTCTTGGCAGCTTCAATTGCTATCATGCATCCAACCAGCTATCATTATTATAGGTTGCAATAAAGGCACATGCAAAAGCTAAGAATTGGCTATAAAAAAATCATCATCATATCAGCCACACTGGACATGAAGATCCCACTCTGCTGTCACTCGTGTTCTCTGCTCTAAACAGCCTGGACAGGAGCTGCCTGGGCCTGAGTCTTTGTGCTGTGGTGTAAACAAGAGGTTGAACCGTCAAACGCCTGAGTGAGCTGTACCATAATCCCAAAGCTCAGCCTTTTGCTCAAACTTGCAGGCACTGGTGCACCTCGTAACAAACAGGTGGACATGCAGGAGCTGCAGGCTGATCCATCAGCAGCACACACTGATTCATCACCATGCCACATTAAATTAAATTAAAAATCACTAAAAATACACAGAAATTATCCACTTGTAGCTTATTTTTTTCTTATTTTTTTAACATGCAACTTCACAATGTCATTCGTACATTTAATGTTATGAATATATTTAGCTACTGACCTGTGTGCGTCCTTTTGTGGATCTTAAGGTTCTCCGATCTGGCAAACACTTTCCCACAGCCAGGGAAGGGGCATGGAAACGGTTTCTCCCCGGTGTGCACTCGGATGTGATTTACAAGTTTGTACTTGGCTTTAAAAGGCTTGCCTTCCCTCGGACACTCTTCCCAAAAACAGATATGGTTCGCCTGCTCCGGTCCTCCGACGTGCTCCATCGTCACGTGCGTTACCAGCTCGTGCATGGTGCTGTAAGTTTGGGAGCAAAGTTTCTTCGGCGAGATCTCCGGCTCCAGCCACTTGCAGATGAGCTCCTGCTTGATCGGCTGCCTCATGTAACGGAAGAAGGCTCCGGCTCCGTGGTGGTGGTGGTGGTGCGCGCTCAGATTCATGTTCAGATTCAGACCACCGTAGCCATGCATCGGCGAGGCGGAGAACGGATCAGCCCTGGAGCTTGTCACTTGACTCAAGTGATCAGATCTAACGTACATTTCTCCAGGTAGTCCTAACCTTATTTGTCCATTCAACGCTTGGCCACCCGGGGATCCGCTAGAAGACTGGTCGTGATGGAGTCCGGAGAAGAGGTTCCCAGCGTCAGGGTGGTGACCATAGTGTCCGGGATAGCTACCTGTTGTTGAGACAAACATTCCGTGGTGAGAGGCTGAACCGGCAGACTGGTCGGTCAGCACGGGCATGGCTTGAGCTGTCAGATCTCTCCGGATGAGGAAGTCCCTGCCTGCGGATAGAGCCTGGGCCGGGTGGTGAGACATGGGATAGGGCACCGATGTCGCCTGAACCGGGCCAAAAGCTCCCGTTTGACTGGAGACCACTTCACTGTGGCCTGCCATATGATGATTGTGGTGGTGGTGATGGTGGTGGGGATAATGATGGGCTGGGCTGATTTTGAGGGCCGCGGAGTGCCCCATGTGTTCTGGCCCGAATGGACTCGGCCCCAGGCGGGGTTCCGCAGTAATCTCCCCAGGGTGCGAGTGAGCCATTGAGTGTGGATGGCTGCTGAACCCCGGGAAGCCTGTCACGCTCTGAGGGGTATGGTGGTGATGATGGTGATGGTGGTGAGCCCCTGCCAAGTCAACTAATCTCAGCGCCGTGTTCCGTTTGGAAAACGTAGGGTCCATCACGGGGCTTCCCAGTGCATCCACGCTCATTACTTCCTAATTTTAGAATAACTTGACAGCAGGCAAAATAATAATGATGATGACAAATATATTTTAATCGTAGTGAAAAAAAATAAAGAAAAAAGACTTTATAAAGTTAAGTCTATCTGCAGACTACATGGAATCCCATTCGGTTGAGAGGCAGCAGCAGGACGCTTTGATACTGAATAGAGATTCATGGTAGGCGCTGCAGCCCGTGGAGCTAAACAATCACCCCGCGCTCTAATTGGTCAGAGCTTGGTGATTGACGTCAGCAGTGACAGTTTCCAACGTGAAGAAAAATGTCTTAGTGACAGCAAGCAGCCAGCGCGCATGCGCAGTGCCTCAGGCAACGCTTTAGAAAAATAGTTGTTATGCAAAGGTTATTGTACAATAAAAGTCCTAAAAAGTTGATCCAGATATACAGTCGTCTCTCTTTTGTCGGAGCAGACAAAGGCTGCTCGGCTATGAAAGAGCCATTTCCCCTCTTTGATTCTGCAATTACAAAACAGCCTGCCTCGCTAGAGTATGCATATTGTTAGTACAAAATGTTTTAAGGATCATAAATAATGCAGTGATATCTTCATTTTCCCCCTGCAACGTATGAGGGACAACTTTACGCACAAATTACGCACAGCTTTACGCACGTAAAAAGATCGGCGTCAGCGGAGAGAAACTTGTCCACTTATCGAAAGGAAAACTCCACGTGGGAGTATGAAATAGTCCGGAGTAAAAAGTATTAATACGCGCTTTGATAAAAACCCATATTTACACATCCAGCCGGTCGCTCCTCCGCGCGCACCGCAGTGTTGACTCCGTGCTCTGCTCGGTGGGATCCGTGTGTGCAGTCAGTGTGAATAGAGCGAGCTGCGGCCATTGTCCCGAGGGGGAAAAAAGTAATGGACGGGACCTGTTGTTATGATCCGGGGTAATTTTGCTTTAGACCCTGGACGGCAGCAGATGAGGGTCACAGGAGGTGGTGCCGTTGCAGACTAAGGTTCAAAATAAAAACGTGTGTGTGCTGTAAGTATCGGTTACTAAAATATTATCCTACAAAGTATAACATGTTAGGTTCTGCTTCCTGTTTGAATGCTTAAACGAAATATTTTTATTTATGGATCATAACAGGATGCCGTATAATTTATTTTTGCTTTATTTTTGTCTATGTACTTTTTTTTTAAATCATGAGGTTATACAAACTATTTTAAAAACCAAATGTGTGGCCAAAACATTTGTGGGTGTTACTGTGCACGAATATATCTGCAGCACGGTGGGCACGTTTACTCTCTTAACAAACATGGACTTCCAAAAATAAAATCCCAACTACAGAGAATTTTGAATAATTTCTTGCCATAGTTTTACTATTTTAAAACTAATTATAATTTAGGTTTGTAAGAGAGTTGTATAATAGTATGTATATTATAGTTGTGGGGGTTGGTGGTGTGTGTACTGCAATATCTTTGTAGTTGAAGACAAAAATAAATTACTGCTTGCAGCGACCTTAAAGAAGGTCACATGCAGAGCTGAACACTTTGATGTCAAAAATGAAATGTGTTATTCAACTCTGTGGTGAGCATGAGTGAATTGTGGATTTAAGAGTACAACTTACATTTATTGTCAATATCTGAACCCCCTCACACTTCTTATTTACATTTTCGTTCATGAGAAAATCAAATAGCGATATTACGAGCATGTGTTTTTGCAGTGTGTAGTTTTTAGATATAGACCAATTAACTGAATATGCTAATTCATAATAATAAATAACTCACTTATAATATTGGTTTATACGAAAACAGATCTAAAACTATATTACAACCTGATAGTTCTGTCTGTGAATTGACTCGTCAGACTCGTGGCTGACAGCGTCATCTCCAGCACGTTAGACAATGAGTCAATATTTGTGAAGATGTTTATTAAATGGCCTTACTCAGCTGTGGCCCTCAGAGGCATCACAGCAACAGCGTAATGCAAAAACGTTCAGGTGCTATTTCTGGGCCATGTTGTGCACGCACTCACTCTTGGAGACAAGTAAGCAGGGGAGTTGTACAGGACCAAAACTAACAGAAAGGTGAAAACAGAATCTCTTAAAACTCAGATTTGTGCAGTTTTGGCTTAGTTTATTTTTCACTGTAAGTCATAAAACAGATCCAGGTAGCCATTTTAAATTCTACAGAATCGTTTCATTTGGATAAAGGCACTTAAACGGTACGTAAATGCTAATCAGGTACCTTGTTTTTACGCATGTCATCTTAAACGTATTTACTCAAAACGACAAAGTTCTGCATAATTCCAACAACTTTTTTTCTTGGCACACAATTTCCAAATTAGCCTCACTTGTGGCAATTCTTACATGACCTCCAGTCTTGACTCACTCATTTTCCTATCCTTCTTAACAATATGCCGTGCTTACCGTTGTCCACCTGTTGAGAGAGATCCCTCCAAATGTGCGCACAGCAGAGCAGTGAGCTATACCTAAAAACGCCGGGTGTACTTGCTAAGTTGAGAACAACAAAACGTCCCCTCTTTGCCTGGTCTCACAAGACTGACTTGGAGAATGCCTTGTGTAGGAACTAGCCTAGTAGCCAAGCAGATATGTTAATGGTTCGCCCGGCACGTCTGTGCATGTGGCTTTGAACTCCAGCAGCCGGAGGTTCCTGCAGAGAGCGCCGCAAATCCCACTTGATAACTTCGACAGCCCACAACGTTTTACACACAGGCCATGCATCACCGGCCTGCAAAATAAATGAGTAAGTTGCACAAGCACTGCAGCCAAAATTCGTGATGGATACGTTAGGAACACCGGTGCATCCAAGTCAAATCCTGGCCTATATACAGTGTAACCTTTATGGACGCGGGGCGCTGGTGAGCATGATGATGATGTGGAAATCTAAAGCACAGATGTTCCACTGGTGTGAGCTCCAGTGGGCGCAGAGACATTGTGTTCAAGGAACTTCAAAAAAACACACACAGAGAGCAGAGGAACACTACAGTATTTGGATCCCTTCGAAATGAAACTAGAGAGTGATGACAGTTGACAGGTTTCATATTAAAACCTCAAGAGTGTCTCAATGACAAACGAGAAAATATAAGGTTTGTTTACCATCATGTCAGTCCATTAGAGTTGCAATAAATACAATTATTGTCTTTATTTCTGCTCCTGACAAAGTATTTGCGTATCCATCAAATGCATTCCATTATAAATAGAAATATAGACAGATATACAGATAGCTAGAGTGCTTAATTGTACATAAACGTTACCAATTACACCACCAAAATGTGTTTTCTAGGTGATCTAATGCCCAGCTTAACAAAGACATACTGTCACATTTTCTATATAAACTGTTGTGTTGTGAAAACGTGCTCTGACTCTCTACGAGGTCCCTCATTGTCTCGCGTTTCTCAACTTTTGTTTTGCTGTTATTCAGCCTTTTAACCAAATCCACAGTCAGCAATCTCACAATATCTGGGATTGATGATGCAAAGAGGCCAATAGAAGTGTGGGCCCTGCACCGTGGATTGTTATTTGGTGAGTGGATGTTATTGGGGGGAAAGGAGCTCAGCCAATGAGCGAGCTGAACCGGGGCCACATGACCACCCCCCTCCTCTCCCATTCATCAGGGCTGGACTGTGTTGTCTTTTCAATTCATTTATCTGCAGGAATGATTGCGACTATCAGTCTAGAGCTCACCGCCTGACTGAGGAGGTGAAAGTCGCGCCACAGGAAGATAAACCGCAAAAGACAATAGTGCATGTATACATGTTTCTGCATCGGATGAGCCGTATAGGGGAATTCCTCGCGTCTTAGAAAGTAAACAGAGAATCTGTGGATTTCAGAGTTTGCTCAGTCGAGAGAGCTCCAAGAGACAGAAAGAAGAGGGGGGAGGAAGAATATCTGTGCGTGATTTTTTGATTTCTGCTCTCAGTCGTCTCGGCTCGTGTAGACTGAAGATGCTCCTGGACGCGGGACCGCAGTACCCCACCATAGGAGTCACTACTTTCGGCTCCTCTCGGCATCACTCAACAGGCGAAGTCACGGAGAGAGAAGTGGCGTTGGGGATCAATCCCTTCGCGGATGGGATGGGCGCCTTCAAAATCAACCACAGCTCCCACGATATTGGCTCCGGACAGACGGCGTTCTCCTCCCAGGCTCCCGGGTACGCAGCCACCGCGCTGGGACACCACCACCACCCGAGCCACTCTTACTCCACCTTCAACTCCACCAGGGACTTTCTGTTCAGAAATCGGGGTTTCGGGGATGCCACCGGCGCGCAGCACAGTTTGTTCGCCTCCGGAAGTTTCGCAGGGCCACATGGACACTCGGATGCGGCGGGGCACCTGCTCTTCCAGGGGCTCCATGAGCAGAACCACGCGCCCTCCAACGTGGTTAACAGCCAGATGCGGCTGGGCTTCACTGGGGACATGTATGGACGTGCAGACCAGTATGGCCACGTTACGAGCCCCAGGTCCGACCATTACGCATCATCCCAGCTGCACGGCTACGGCCCCATGAACATGAATATGGCCGCGCACCACGGGGCAGGGGCCTTCTTCCGATACATGAGGCAGCCCATCAAACAGGAGCTCATCTGCAAGTGGATCGAGCCGGAGCAGCTGACGAACCCCAAAAAGTCGTGCAACAAAACTTTTAGCACCATGCACGAGCTGGTGACCCATCTGACGGTGGAGCATGTGGGGGGGCCCGAGCAGACCAACCACATCTGCTTCTGGGAGGAATGCGTCCGAGAAGGGAAGCCATTCAAAGCCAAATACAAACTTGTGAATCATATCAGAGTACACACCGGAGAGAAGCCGTTTCCCTGTCCGTTCCCCGGCTGTGGGAAAGTGTTCGCCCGGTCGGAAAACCTAAAAATCCACAAAAGGACTCACACCGGTAAGACTGCACGCTTTCATAAATATGCAAGCGATTATTATTTACTAGGCAGTCTCTTACTTGCATTAAATTCTGTGCATTGTTAAGATACATATTTTTAAAGTCTTTATTTTGTTATGTT